AGTCAGCGATCCGTCGTCCGCTCCCACCCTAGATGATATTTTCATCGGACTAGCTGGACGTAGGTGTCTTTTCCAATCTTGATCAGGATCGGAGGCGTCACGGACCCCTTGGACGTTTCCCAGAACGACGTCATACAGTGGGTCATCCATGCAGATCGCGCGAGTCTTGCCTGAGAAAAAGGGTGAAATAATTCGCACGTCTGCCTCCGGCAGTTTCAGTACCCTTCGATCAAGAAGACACACAGAGGAAACTTTCCCCGTCAGATTGCTGACTGGTACAAGGGACCTTCTCACAATAACCGAGTCGCATCCTGTATCCCGTAAGACCGTAACGGGCTGGTTTTCAAGGACGCCTTCGGCCGTAGGCATAGACTTGTCCTCCCACTTGATTCTCGTACGTTTCGAGCAATCAGTACCTTGCCGGGAAGCCTGTGTCTCCTGGTTTGATGCTTTCGGACCTTCTGCTTGCTCTTTCAGGCACGAGGCTTTACCGCTTCCCTTGTTAGGGCAGTCCTCTTTGCTATGCCCACTACGTCTACATTTTCCGCAGAAGGCTGGTTTTGTCCTTGGCCCTTTAGTATTTGCCCAGCAATCTGAGGCCTTATGACCGCGCTTTCCACAAAGCAAACAATGTGGTTTGTCCTTTTCCTCTTTCCGTAGTGCGGCCTGCGCTCGATCTGGTGGCTTTTTATGGTCCTTGTCGTCCTTACCTTTACCAAGGTTGACGAAACCCTGCGCCTCCATATAATGATCAGTAGCTTCTACTAGCTTTTCAATTCCTCGGCAATCCCTTTCCCGCAGGAAGATTGCCAGCTTCTCGTGGCACTGCGTGATGAATTGCTCTGAAACAATAACGTCTCGTAGAGCTTCGTACGTCCGTTCGGTCTTGGCCATCTCTTGCCAATGGTCGAAATAACCTAGTAATCGCCCAGCGAACTGTCGACCCGTTTCGCAGTCCTCAGGCTTCGCCGACCGAAACTTAGTGCGGTAGCCCTCCTCTGTAAACCGGAAGCGCTGCAACAACGTTTTCTTTAACGTTGCGTAATCCATGGCATGGTCAGGTGCCATTCTGCCAACAACACTTAGCGCTTCACCTGTCAAACAAAGGCTCAGTGAAAGGGCCCACTTGTCTTGCGGCCAATCCTGGCTCCTGGCGACGCGTTCAAAGCGCTGGATGTACGCGTCCAGCTCGTCGCGAACTTCGTTGAAGGGCGGTATGAGTTTGTGCGGACTTTTGTAGCTTTGAGGAGAACCCATGTGCGGACCCTCTACTGATTGACCTGTAGTCACGCTACCCGTTGTCGCATCTAACTCTCGGAGCTTCAACCTTAGTTCGAGAACCTCCTTTTCTGCTTGTAGCCTCGCCAGTGCCTCGGCATCAGCTTCTTTTGCCGCATTGCGTTCGGCTAAACGTACTTCCCGCGCTTCTCGTTCACGTACGCGCTCCTCATCGATCCACTGCTTTAGCCCTGGACCGCTCAACCCCAGTTCCTTTCCAATTGCTGTGAGCTTGTCCGTCTCCATCGTCAACCGTCAGACCCGTATAAGCGACGCGCTGCTCTTTTATAGGATAAGAGCGGTCCTGTCGCGCGGACGCCAGATGTGATGATTGTTGGTGAGGTTCGTCGCGCCGCAGAGCGTGTGACGCGTTGCGGATGGAGGAGACGGTATCTGACGTTAACAAACCACACTACAATTGTATTTGACAGCATACACACACGAAATACATAAAGCGGCAGCGTACACTACTAGTCAATTGTCTCACGTGGCGGTGCTTGGGGACCAGGAGGCTGTGGGCTGGTTGAGTCCCTGTGATGACGTAATCGTCGTCGGGTAGATGTCCGGTGTGGCAACGACGTAGCAGCAGCAGGGGTTAAGGGCCGAGTGAACGAACCGTCGCTCGGTAGCCGGTAGCCAGGCAGGGCTCGCCCGCGCCAGGCCAGGACCTTGCGACGCTCGTCTCGACGGCGGTGGACAATCTGGAACCTCGCGCGTAGGTGCGGGTTCTCCGAGAGCAGCAGGCCGCGTCCCAGGTCTTGCCAGGCGAGGACCGTGAGGCGCTCGCTGTCCCGAAGACAGGCGCCCTGTGTATGCGAACCTCGCGCGTAGATGCGGGTTCTCCAACAACCTGCCGCCCGTTCTGCCGGCGTTCAAAAAAAAAAAACTGTCTCGCCTGCGCGCGCCCTTCTTAATCTTCTCTGCAGCCCGAGCTCCTTCGTTTTTCTCGCCTTCCAGCGATCGGCCACTCCGTCGTCTGCTCTCGCTTTCCCTGCTTCGTCACAAGGATGCCTTTTGGATTGCACATCTCTGCACAGACCTTTCAACGCACTATCAACGAGGTCACGCGAGGTCTCGATTTCGTATTTGCCTACCTTGATGACCTCCTTGTAGCAAGCTCATCCGGCCCTGAGCATGGAGCCCACCTGCGCACCCTGTTCCACCGCCTGGATGATTACGGCTTCGTAATTAATTCCAATAAGTGCCTCTTCGGCGTCGCTACAATAGAGTTCCTAGGCCACCTTGTCACTCCAAAGGGTATCCAACCACTCGCCAGCAAAGTGAAGGCTATTCAAGACTTTCCACCCCCGACTTCACTGAAGAGACTTCGAGAATTTCTGGGCCTACTAAACTTCCATCGCCGCTTTCTTCCAAAGTGCGCCACATTCCTAAAGCCCTTGACCGACCTATTGGCTAAAAAGAAAAAACCCGGCTGCACCACTGGAGTGGTCAAAAGACGCTGCATCTGCCTTCGACACTGCCAAGAAGGCTCTGGCAGACGCTACCATGCTCATACATCCCGGCCCTGATGCCCCAATTCGTCTCATCACTGATGCATTAAGTGTGGCAGTTGGCGCTGTTCTCGAGCAGCACGTATCCGGTTGGCAGCCCCTTGGGTTTTTCTCGCAAAAACTGAAGCCACCAGAGACAAAATACAGTACATTTGCCCGAAAGCTCCTCGCGGTATACCTCGCCATCAAACAATTTCGTCATTTATTGGAGGGCCGATACTTTTACGTCGTTACAGAGCACAAGCCCCTGACGTTTGCCTTCCATCGCAATCACAGCAATTATACTGCACGGGAGATCCGTCAACTATGCTTTATTTTCGAGTTCACTGAGGATCTCAGACACGTACATGGGCCGGAAAATGCTGCTGCTGATGCGCTATCCCGCATCGATGCCTTGTCGACCCAGCCACCACTAGACATGAAAGAGCTAGCAGCTGCCCAAAGCAACGATCCTGAGCTGCATCGTCTTCGCTCTTCATCCACGTCTCTATCGTTCACGGAGTGCCCGCTTCCATTTTCTCCCTCATTAATAATGTGCGAAACGTCTACAAGTGTCCCTCGGCCCTTCGTGCCTACAGCTTTTCATCGTGCAATTTTTGATCAATTGCACAGCATTAGCCATCCTGGTATTCGTGCGACCCATAAGCTAGTCACATCTCGTTTCCTTTGGCCAAGCATCAATGCTGATGTCTGACGCTGGGCGCGAACCTGCCTTGAGTGCCAGCGCGCTAAAGTTCACCGTCACACTGTCACGGTAACATCCCCGTTCCGGCCTTCAGACGCAAGGTTTTCTCACGTCCGTCTCGACATCGCCGGTCCTCTTCCGTCATCGCAAGGAGCCTGTTACCTACTGACATGTGTGGATCGCTTCACCAGATAGCCGGAAGCGTTTCCCATTTCCGACATTACAGCACCAACAGTTGCCAAGGCTTTCACAACCGGCTGGGTGTCGCGCTTTGGATGCCCTTCTGTCGTCACCACTGATCGCGGTCGTCAGTTTCAATCGGCCCTTTTAACCGCACTTGCCAATATCCTGGGCATTCAACACATCCACACAACTGCCTACCATCCCTCCGCCAATGGCATGGTCGAACGGCTTCATCGACAACTGAAAGCTGTCCTCACTGCTCACCAGCCAAGGGAACGTTGGCTGGACCACCTCCCCTTCTTACTTCTTGGCATACAATCAGCATTGAAAGTGGATCTCGGCTGCTCATCAGCCGAACTAGTCTATGGCGTTTCTCTGCGTCTTCCGGGACAATTCTTCGAGCCATCATCGCCACCTTCCTCTCACGATGCCTCCACGTACATTCGAGAGCTGCGCACCACGTTTCGGGACCTTGCTCCTGTGATTCCTGCTGACCGACACCCCCAGTCTGTCTTCGTCAGTCAGGATCTGCATGACTGTAGTTACGTCTTCGTTCGGCGTGACCAAATACGGCCACCACTAACACCAGCCTATGATGGCACATTCCGCGTACTCCATCGTACACCTAAGACGTTCACGCTGGACATCAATGGCCGTGAAGACGTCGTGGCTGCTGATCGACTGAAACCTGCGTATATCGCCGCTCTCGCGGCCGCGGAGTTTCAATCTAAAGTCTGGATGCCAACATCCAAACATGACCACTGGGCAACTCCTTTGGTGATTCCTACGGCTCTCGTTCTACGGGGGCGAGCCCTGTAGCGCCTCAATACGCTGCTCGTCAAGGAAGAAGTTGGCATTTGGGCCGCGCGGCGGGTGCACCGCGATAATAAAAAAAATCAGTTCGAAAACTGAACGCTGTCAGGGCTGGATCTTTCCCGTGTTAGCTCCGACAAGATCATAGTCGAAATCAAGAGAAAGAAATGGTTATGAGTAGGGCGCGTTGCGTGAAGGCAAGATAAACGCTGGTCATCAAGGATCACAAACTGTATTTCAAGAGAAGACAAGTGGATTAAGGGGAGACAAACACTTAGGTGGACAGACGAGATTAGGAAGTTCGTGGGTACTATGTGGCAGCAGCAAGTGCAGCACCTAGATGACTGGCGGAACACGGGAGATGCCTTTGTCCTGCATGGGGTGTGACGGTAATGTGTGCAGGCTAATGATGGTGGTGATGACACATACGGGACATGAAGGTGACGTCTGAAACCAGTGAGAGTGTCTATGTAATTTCTATCATAATAAAAACAATGGTTATTTGATTTTATTGAGTCAGACACAAGAACAACATTTCAGTTATTTATTATTGACAAGAAAGTGTGAATTTGTTTACAACGAAGCCGTTCTGCCGTTCCTCTTGCCGAGGATGCCATTCAAAAATGAGTCTGATTTACACTAAATGCACTGCCCACATGAATTGTGAAGTCAGCCGACATCGCTGTAGGCAAGATGTCCTGCTATAATACTGAACATTACATGTGATGAAGCAGCTAGCTTGACTGGAGCTGGATGATAAATAGTGGGGGGTGGTGCAATAAGCAAAATTAAATAAAGCAAATTATTCAACCGTCACTCATTGCTAGGCCTGCAAGGTTGACCCACACAAAATTCTAAGCAGCTTGCAAAGTCTTGTATTAAAACAGCGGCGCAATGCACTATCTTCATGAATGCCACCATACATTTTCACTGTGTACGAAAATTCTAATTTGATGATGATGCCTACGCTTTGTAGGCTCGAAACATGATGAAAAAAAAAACATCCAGCATGGTAGCGACATGGGGAGGTGATAATATTAACAATTACCTATAAATGTATTCAAACGCACGGGGTTTCTAAGTGTCACACACCAGCCAAAGCACCAGCGAACAACTCCCAGATTCTATGTTCTTGCGAAATCGATTCAATCGGTGGTGCCGATTCTTTTTTTTTCAGTTTTCCTCAAAAGACACCACTGTCAACAGTTGCAATGCATCAGTACGTCTTTCTTTCCACGCTAACCAACATGCCTGACAAATTTTGTGCGACGAAAAACTACCGTGAAAGTTAACTACTGAAGAAAAAGGACCTATTTGCTTCAAATATACACAAAATATTTTAGGAATGCTTTAGCAATGACATTATTAGTAACCTGTAGTGGCCAAATATTGGCATCAGTTATGAAAAATATTCGGCGTGCACCAGCCTCAACATGAGTAAAAACTGCCGAAAGAAGTGACAAGCTCTGAAGGATAAAGGCGACTGCAGCCGGCTCTGTGCACCTGCTACGAAGTTCTTAACTTTAGCCACAACGTGTAGACATCAGGCGCCCACGTGTGATTGCAGACCATCGATTATCGACCTCCTTCTGCATTCGTAGAGTTGAAGTGACCTTTAGGGTTCTGGGTTTGCTTGTTTGAAAGGCAGTCATGTTAAACAGCACCTTGTTCTTACGCGAGTGACGTTTACTTTGGTGGACTTGTGGTACAGCATGGCATTTCTGCCAATATACATTTGTGATGTTCAGGCAGTAAAATATAGATGAGGCATATCGCGAATGCTGTGCAGTCAGTACACACACACAAAAAAGAATCCGATAAAGAAAAAAAGGTACGTGATATGCTGTGACAAATTGGCAAGTGTTTTACTTGCTTTTGCACCATGCCCACCCTAAAGAAAATTTCCTGATTGAAATGCTTTATTGGGCATGAACATGTGTGTGCTCGATGGTTTATGCTTGGTTGCTGCACATTTTGTGCCTTTCAGATTAAGTGAAAGCTGAGTAGAGTGATCATTCGGGCAAAAAAAAAAATGAAGATTCTGCTTATTTTGTTTCACTCTGCCAGCATACGGTAAGCACAAGGACAGCACAGCTGACACTTTGACGCCATCTGCGATAAATTATTTCTATTAGTCTGGTTCGCCCTTGTTCTGTTCGTTCACTAGTCTATACAGAACAATTTATCTTGGCCAAGCAATTCAGTGTAAGTGGCTCTTTATTACTCATGCTGACAGTCCTTGAATAAACTTATTTCATAGTTACTGCCTCACATGTCGACTCACTTGCACCAGATGTAGAAATGCGAGTTTCCAATGCGTTCAATGTATAGCTTCAAATGTATATACTTCTCATTCTCGGAAATCTTGCAAAACTAGTGTTTTGAAATGTCACATATATTTGCTTGCCGACTTGATACTTGGTCCTATTAAGGGAGATGCCTTATTACGCGTAAGTATGACTGTTGCTAGCACTTTAATGAAAATTATTTTTCTAGCACTCATATAGCTTCCTGCTTGCCGTAGCCTAACTGTGGGTTGTTTTCGTGCATCGTGTAGTTCATTAAAATCCACTGCCTTCAGGTGATGCCAAACATCGAAACCGCCTATGACTATTATGCATCATAATACATAGAAGAATGACGTGAGTGTGCTTGATATTTTTCACCATAGACTTCTTGCACCAGACTAGAAAGTTATTTTTGGCTGTAGCCCTATAGCGGCCGCCGTAAGTAAAAACAGTGTTGATTGGTATAGAGCCACATTTGTGACAAATGATTCACCTGGCCCACAACTTGCCGAGGGGTAAATATGAGCTATTTTAGTTTGATCTGTACATAAACATGGCAAACAGAAGCAACTATCTTAACTACAGAAGACAGACTGGATGCCAACGCGGGAATACATATTTTGGCGCTTGCAAGAATATGTGCACATACGATTACTTTAGTGAATACGAATGGCTCACTCTCACCCTGCCATGTACAGCATGCGCGTATTGTTTGGTGCTGACCTACGCAAACAATATTTTAAAAGTTCTGCCGTCAATGATTTTTTGTGTGGAAGTACGCCTCTAAGAGTCTCAAAATTTGAATACCTCCGGAGGAAAGTTGTAGCGCGAACATTGCTGTGTACCCACGAGTCGAATATCGGCTGTACATATATATATCGGCCGCAAGTAAGAGACGTCAGGATGACTATGTGCTTCATCCGGTTCTTCCTGGCGCAGCGTTGCATGCAGCAAGCCGGCTTTGTTAGAAAAAGCTCCACCTGTCAACCTGTACAGCCACACGTTCGTGGTGGCAGCACCTTAAAAAAATGAATACAGCAGGCTGTGCCGCATATCACAGTTGCTTTCTGTCGTTGGGGCGTCGCGTGCATCGAGGCACCCCAGTATACACTTCATGCCGCGTGGTTTGACTCCGCAGCACTGCTGCCCTCAGTCGGTCATGGCTGGGTTTGTGTAGCTGAAGCCCTTGAATTGCTCCTGGTCCATGGAGGCCAAGATCTGCGGGTCGATGGGTGTCAGCACGGGCTTCTCCATCGTGAAGTCGCTGTCGAAGTTGCTCACGTCCGCCGTGTTTTTCTGCAGAGAAGACATAGCATGGGAGCGAAATGACAAAGCGACATTGTAATAAAACAAATGCACATTAAGTTACACATTGTTACGTCGTGAAAACCAACACACAACGAGGCCAAAAGAAGGTATAGAGAGCGCTAATCGTAGTCTGCTAACTGTATCGTAGTAGTTGCCATATAAATGATGAAGAAGTTATGGGGGACACAAAGAAAACTTGCTTCCGGGAAAAATCACACTTGCAACTTTAGCATGACGCCTCCGATGGATGAGCAGTTGAGCTAGAGAGGCTTCGTCTTCATGATGTGCAGAAATACCCGACAATGTGGAAGACAGGACGACCGTCGCTGTTGCTCAACTGCATCGAACACGATATCCGGAGGTAGCAGGTTCGGTCCTTGCCAACGAATAGTTGTTCTTTCTTTCACTTTGACTTCTTCAGAGTTGATATGATCAGTTTATTAATGGAGCTAAAAGACTACAGTTTACGTCCCTGTACTTTTTTGGCTTCAACGCCCGTTGGTATTCATTAGGGTGGTGTGTAAAATAGAAAAGATAGCTCTTAAGTTCCCCTTATTTCGGTGATTCATGGTTCTGTGGAGTAACTAAAGACCTGGCAGTGTAACGGCAATTAAGAGAGACCACTGTGCAAGCGTGAGAGCTCGGGAAAGAGCATTATACGTAATGCATGGTGCTAGTAGGTAAACTAGTTTAGTGAAACCTAAACAAACGAGGTTGGCTGGCGAGCTGCAAAATGCCGGGAAGACATCACGCAAGAAATTACCGGGCACGCATGGAGGGGATGCCAATTTAGCAGTACACCGGCATCTGCTGGCGAGCGACTCACAGGATGCTCAAGGTCGGCAAAGAGTCTGCGTTGAACAACGGGATCGAAAAGGCCAGAGGAAATGACAGGGCGGGATGATGACAGGGGCGGGAGGATACCTTTCGCGTGGACGGCCCGGCAAGAGGCGTCAAAAATAGACCGCATTCCCGCGGCAAAGTTGGCTGGTGTGCGCCGCGTTCTTGAGCTCTTGAACCAACAGGAAAAGGAGGAAAATACAGGACAGGATGGTTGAGTACGAGGAATGCGCGGGAAGACATAAGTTGCAGGAAAAAAAAAGAAGCTCAGGGTACAGGAAGGGAGGCAGTTGGCGAGCGCGCTGGCGTTGCACGGAAACGCGCCCGCTTAACCAGAACAACAATCATTGGTCTCACCGATTGGGTGCAGTGCGCAGCAATAGCTGTGGGTCGTTGACGATGTTTTGTGAAGAGACTTTTGTGCATACGTGTGTGCGTACCTGTACGTGTTGCGTGTGCGTATATGCGATCACTTCGCAGGTCCGCAAACTTGCTCGTAAAGGCTGATATCGAACCAAAAGTCCGAACCTGAGCGAGTCAGGTTGAGTAATATTTTGGTGAATTTGAGCCTTTCCAAGTCTGGTTGAGGAAAATTTTGGTGTATCTGAATCCGAGTGAGCACAAAGTATGTAATATATTACCTAAGTGAGTTCGAGTGAGCTCCAGTTCTTTTTTCCGACCTATGGATCGCTGCAGATACCATAACCAACGCCAGACACCTGTACAGCAAGGAGTGCAATAAACCAGGCTAACACATGTGTTTTGAAATGGGCAAACTTCTTCCCTGTACGCATTGTGAGAATCTGCAGCCTGTCAAGAGAATTTGTTGCTAGGCTAGTTGGTTAATGGTGGTCAACTGCAGAAGCGAACATGAAAAAAAAAACCACACACCGCACAGAACTGCGTCCTCTTCTGTGTGTTTGTTCTTTGCCCCGTAACAAATAAGCTCTCTGCAGGTTAGCATTAGCCGTCACTGGCTAGCTTAGAAGAGCTCTGGCCTTCACGGTGCTGCACATAATTAGAACCCAAGATCGAGTGAGTTCCCTCCGTTCCATCTTCAGCTCCTGTTGACAGCTTTCGACAGTTCGTTCGCCCAGCAGGCTTGACCGCTGCTTGACCGGCCACGGTCAATCTGTTAAGCAACGTGTCAACAGACGCGCGTGGTTTGTAGTAAACGTACTCTTTTACTTGCTAGCGCAACGCTGGTTACCTTGCTGTTAGCGCGGATACTCTACATGCCATTTACGTCACGCCGCTCTATCCTTTCGCTCGGAGACATTGTTTTATATTTATGTTATTGACCAGTGCCTAGAAAGGGTGGCCGCCAAGAAATTCTTGCCTTGAAACTCTTACGAAACCCCGCCCGTGACACTTGGCACGCGCCCGCCGGCGTCTCCAGGCCGGACGCAGTCAGGCATGTCTTGTTCGTTTCACTTGAACAAGGGGCACCCGTTGATTTTGTATTCTCGTTAAACTTCTTTTCTCCAAGGCGAGCCGCAGCTGTGCGCGTTTGTACCCGACGTCTGTCACTTAAAGGAGCTACAGAAGAATTTTGTTGCGCCAGCGTCATGAAAGGGACTCACGAACGAAGAGTAACGGAGGCTTGTTCTCCACAGCATGTCGTATACAGGGCGCCGATATAATTGAACTCGAGGTTAGCATAGAAGAACTGTCGTGCCACGTGCTCTGTTAGCGACAGTAATCTTTTCGACATACCTGCGTATATTTATGTACGTGGACGTGAGGCAGGGTTGGGGGGAGACGAGGAGGAAGAAGAGGTTAGAAATAAAGAAGATGGCTGACACCCCAGCCTAGTACTGTGTATTATTACAAATTGGCGCAGCCGCGTATACTTTCTGTGCGGACATTCAAGATGTGGGTGGACTTCACCATTGGAGCAAATCAACGCGGTGGCATCCGGATCTTGACCGCAATGCCTCAAGATGAAGAGGAACTAGCTCTTCCGGAAGCAGTGAGCACTGACGCATTTGTTTCCTATATAAGCACTAAAATGAAGATAGCCCCAGACCATTTACTTGCTAAAAGAACGGTGAGGATCAACATGAAACTTCAGGATTATGAGAATTTCGTGCTGACTCCAGTAAGAAACGACGCGAAGCCTGCTACCGCTGCTTCGCCTGACAGTTCCATTGAGCTAATCAACAAGTTTCTTGAACTGCACCAAGAGCAGAATAGGCAGCAAAATGATTTATTGCGCTTGCTTGTAAACGCGACGGAAAGGATAAGCAGACCGAGTCGCGAACAAGTGAAGCCAGACATGTTTGACGGAGAGTCCAGTAGTGCCGAGTCCTGGCTCACGTTTTACGAATATGCATGCAATGGAAACTACTGGCACAGCGATGGAGATAAAGTGAAAAACATGCGACTATTCCTATCGGGCATAGCAAAGAGTTGGTACGAATGGCGTCTCAACGCTCACAGCAACAAACCATGGACAGAGTGGAAAGCAAGCTTTCTGAGCTCCTTCAGCGAGAACAAGGTGTTGCTATGGGACAAAGCAATCACGTTCAAATACAGGTCTGGATCTGCACTCAGCTATTTCTACGAGAAAAGGCGCTTGCTACAGCTGGCAGACTCATCTTTGCCTGAGACGTCTGTGGTTCCGCTTATCATTCATGGTTTAAGTCCGGACCTCCAGAAGCAAATACAAATGCGAGGACCCAAGACGGTCGAAGAACTTCTGCAGGGAATGCGAAACCTTTACCTCCAGGACCTAGGAACCCAACGTCCACCCATGACACCTGCTGCAAGGAATACCGGGGCCACACGAGCTGAGGAACGACGCCCGCTTGCAAGCTGGAGACCTACTGCAACACCCGTATCCTTTGCCAACGCAACATTGTTGTGGGAGGGAACTGAAGAACTTAAGTTCTATAACGGGAAGTTCACAGTCCCAGAAACAATGGTGCCTCGAATTTTAGAGCTCTATCACGACTCCCCGCACTCAGGTGGACATGACGGCTTTTGGAGGACATATCAGAAGATTCGTCAGCGTTTCCAGTGGAAACACATGAAACAGGACGTTCAAAGGTACGCTCAGTCTTGTCATCAATGTCAAGTTCACAAAGCCAAGTACCTTCAGAGAACAGACGAGATGGTTTTGCCTCAACATTCCGACGTTTCATTTGAAGTCATTCATCTGGATTTCGCAGAGCTCAAGAAGGAGGCTGCAGGAGTAAAAAGAACGCAGTCTTTCCTAGTGGCAATAGACCAGTGCACAAGAATAGTGGCTGCACGGCCGGGAAGAGAAGACACAAATAGTGTGATCGCTCTTTTGAGTCGGGAGATGTTCAAGAATACGAAAATAGTAATATCAGACAATGGGCCAGCGTTTATAAGTCAGCGTTTGCAAGATTGGGCGAAGGAACGAGGAGTTGTATTGCGACGCTGCGCTCCGTACCATCCTGCAGGAAATGGCATGGCTGAAAGAATCATTCGGGATTTGAAGCAGTTCATTTCAATGTATCCAGGTTTTCAGGGTGGATGGAAGTGCTGCTTGGAGGCAGCTGTCGCTCATCACAATCGGTCGTACACTGCGAGCATCGGCTGTAGTCCATACTTTGCAGCTTTCGGAAAGGTACCAGTGCTTCCTGCTGATCAAGAACTTTGCATTGCAGACTGCCTGCAATTGTGCGAAAAACGAAAACCTTCGGAAGCCTACCAGCGATACCGGGAAAGTATGAAGAGGAACTTTGACCGTCGCCACAACACGCGGATACCTCAGATACAACTGAACGATCTGGTGCTTGTCAGAAAAGGCCTTCCCGGCACAAAGCAGGTGTACATGGGACCTTATCGCGTGGTGCAGATCGCAGTGCAACATGGCGTTCTCAAAAGGGTCGGTTACACCAACAATGATGGTGTGCTGGAGTTTGCGACCATTGGAAACGTTTTCAAGTATCACCCCAGGAGGGATGAGTCTTCAAAGAGGGGGAGTGTACGTGGACGTGAGGCAGGGTTGGGGGGAGACGAGGAGGAAGAAGAGGTTAGAAATAAAGAAGATGGCTGACACCCCGGCCTAGTACTGTGTATTATTACAATTTATATTGGTGACAAATTTGACAATTAAGCCGCCAACGTGTCTACAGACGACAGATGCATTGCAATGGAGATACAAATGAATCCTGTAAGCGGAATCTCTCTCCGATCGACTTGAACACAACGCACGTGTCTCAATTGCTAAGCTTCGTTTATCTGCCGTGCTGTATCTGCAGTGCTGTTTATTTGAAGTGATGTATCACAAGTATGTGCGGCCTAGCTGTCAGGCTGACCACACCAGAACCCGAAACTGCCTCGAAGTTTTGCCCCGTGGAGCGAAAACCGGCTCCTCACGCGCTCTACCCGGACGTGGCCGTAATTGTATACTACATCCTGAAGGGTGAGTCGGTGTTGCTCTCCAAGAAGTCAATGACGCTGCGTAGGTCGGGATCTGCGCGTTGGTTGTCTGCGAAGTCACTAGCACTGATTAGCCCGAGAAAACTATCGTCGTCATCATCGTTAGGCGGAGCATGCGGGTGCTCTTCACAGGCAGTCTGCGTCTGAATGTTTTCTGCCTGACTTGTCGACCACTGTTACGTCAAACTCCTGTAGCCGTAAGCTCCAACGAGCTAAGCCAGCACAGGGCAAGGTCGTTACGGTCGATTTTGAACGGCCTGTCGTACAAGTAGAGTAGAAATTTCATGACTGCCCAGATGATCGTCAGCACTTGTTTCCGGTTGCCGATTAATTGCATTTAGCCTTCGAAAAACACCCGCTGGCGTACGCGATGACCTTTGACTGTCCGTCTTTTGTTTGGACCAATACAGTGCCAATCCCTAAGCCACTTGCGTTTGTGTGAACCTCGGTGTCGGCATCCTCATCAAAATGACCAAGCAGTGGTAGTGACTGCAGCCATCGCTGAAGTTCGTGGAAGAAGTATTCTTGGGGCTTCTGCCACTCATACTTCACGTTAATTTTCGTGAAGCGAGTAAGAGGCTCGGTGATTTGGGAGAAGTTCCGAACGAAACGGCTGTAATAGGTGCAAAATCCCCAAAACCTCTGCATCGGCTTCTTGTCGGCGTGTGCACGGTGGAAAGTTTTCGATGGTGGCTGCTTTCTGGCGGTCAGGGCCAACGCCGTCACGATTAGCTACATAGCCTAAAAACAGAAGTTCTTCATAGGCGAAGCGACATTTCTTTGACTTTACGTTAGACCCGACGATTTGATCGCCTCGAGTACTACCTTTAGCGTTTGGAGCTGTTTTTCAAAGTTTGCTGCAAGAACGACGACGTCGTCGAGATAAACAAGGGAGGTGTGCCACTGCAGTTCTGCCATAAATGTGTCCACAACTTGCTGAAACGTGGTGGGTGCAGAACAAAGTCCAAACGGCATGACTCGAAATTCAAATGGCTATCTGGTATAATGGATGCGGTCTTCTCCCGGTATCTTTCATCGACTTAAATCTGCCAATAGCCGCTCTTCAAGTTCATTGAGGAAAAGTACTTGGCACTGCATAGTCAATTAAGAGCGTGGTGGTCTTGGCCCGTAAGCACAAAGACGAGGCGACTTGAAAACGTGTAAACTTTATTTGAGCGAACTTGTGCTCATAAAATTATTGCGTGAAACGGCCTGTGGGGTTCAGCGTCGGCCGGAAAAATGCCCATCCTCTCTTCACTCAGCTTCTCACGTGGTCCCACCGCTTATCAAAAGCATGCCCAGCGCGCGAGCAACGGAACGACACTCTAGTGGCGCCCCACTGTAAATAATGTGAGAGCGGTTCTGCGCAAAGTGGGCACCAATATAAACGCACGCGGCAATAGATAACTACTGGCGTAATTATTGATTGTAGGAATCTAACGATGCCCTCTGCCACAGTAAAAGTGGCGCCACTAGTAGCACGCAGATTACTCAGTTTTTTTTGTAATTTTTCAAATAAAGTATTGCACACATTTCATGAAACACACTCTATACACGTCCAGGGGCTTCTCATTAATCGCTTATTGCGTATAAACTTTCCAAATTTACATTTTTCAAAAAATTGTCTACTAGTTTACATAACGTAGTGATAACAACATCATTAGGCTCTATATCAATCTTTACAGCAACGGTGAGTTCTTTTTCTTGCCACTTCAGCCACCCTAAAACCACGTTCTTTTGGTGAATGCAATAACTGCTTATAAAACCGCAGCTGCCAACCTGTTGAATGCTTCGCACCAAAGTACACGTGATGCATAGAACAGCCCTTCCAAATTTATTACTCTTTAGTAAAAAGTGCTCAGAGAGATTAGTAAATGATAGGGTATTGAATGACGCTTGCTATGTAGGTCAGATGTGAGTGAGAGTGAATGAAATTCGAAGGAGAAAATAAAAGGAACAAGTACGCAACTTTAACAGCACATCTACAGCCTAGAGACTCTTCAACAGCAGTGTGCAGGGAAGGAAGCAGTGAAATAACAAAACTGGTGAAAGATAGGCAGCATTTAAACCAGAAATTAGTGTGGAGTGGGCGTACGCTCGTCAGTAGGCCAAAGTAGGAAGGCTTGCACCAGAAAGGCAAACAAAAGGCGTTTCGAGAAGATGCAATTAAACAGTATTGGTCACTGAGGGCTCACAAAAGACAATGAACCTCGTTCATGGGCACCTTCTGGGCATGCGCACCAGAAACACTCCAACGGCGCCACTCTGGAACTTTTTTGGTGGCTCGTGGCCTCTGAAACCTCTCGGCATGCCATCTCGGAGGCCATGCATGCGAAAGAACGCACAAGCTCCCATGCTCTCGCGTTGACCGGAAAGCTACCAAAATTTTCTGGCTTTGGACAAGCAACTCTGGGCAATCCAGCAGGCCATGGAAGCTGTCGGGAGACATGATCTCTCTATTAGTTCCAAGGTGGGAGCCCAGCCCAGCAATCTACAAGAAATTAATCACGATTACCTCTCCCTCTCTCGCTTCTGCTAGCAGTGCTGCACCTGTCGTGGCGGCGGTTTAGCAAGGAATTTAATTACTCGTAGAAAAGAATACGGGACTCACCAGTTTGGGCTTGAACGGAGGCTCGATCTCTTTGTTCTCGAGCTTCTCCCACTGGATGTTTCGGAAGAAGGGCTGGTCACACACGTCACCCGCCGGACAGCCGGGCATGCCCAGACGCGTTTCGGCGTTCTTGTCCAGCAGCTGCACGAAAGACAAATTTCGCGCTGAAATCCACAAGCGTCACGGCTGGTGTGCACAACCAATGAGTTCACTTCAATGACTTCAATGACTTCAGGCTATTGCGTATTTCGGTATTCCTTGCTCTGCTAATCTATAAAGCTCGTCTCTGCAGCTGTTGGCAAATTCTGTGTACGTTTTAATTGCGTAGAAGTTCAGGGGCCTGACTTGCCACCCGTCCATACGTGTCATGTGTCGTGATCGCGCTCACTGTCAAGTGGTTAATACAGGCCTAAAGGAAGGCTATCTATGCTCAAAATCAAGTACAAATAAACGTAAATTATCTAAAATATCAATATTAGCAGAAGTAACCAACGAATAACACAAAAATAATTAAATATAAGTAAGAACGCTTCGGAAACATGCGGAAACCCGCGCCGAAACACCTTGCCAAGGTGCGTGCCTCGATGCGAGCGCTCCCCTGAAAGCGGTATTCACGCGACGGACAAAATAGCGATTCCACCCAGGGGATCACGTACTACGTCGATATACACCACCCGTTCCCGCTTCTGTCTGCTCGGAGCGATTCGTGAAAAGACGGAAGCCGAAATACCAGTTGATATCTTCTGGGACGAACGCCAATATCCTCGCATGTAGCGTGAATTTTCCCTTGTCGTGTGAATGCTGCAGCTGCGGAAAGATCAAAATGAAATTACATGCCTCGTGACTGATCCACCCGCGATGGCGTCCGTCGTGTGAATGCAGCTTTAGGGTAGCCGTTGTTTGAAGGGACTGATGCCGCATATAATGTTTGGATGTGTCGTTTACTTTCGTCATCTATTCACGTCACGTGATACCAAGTTTAGTATATGTGGAGGTAGCGAAACGGCCGCGAGCACGCTGTGAGCGTGGCATGTTGTCATGTTCTTACATGACACGCGTGTCAGGATTATCATGTTTGCACCAGTAACAAACCTTCGTCATCCATTCACGTACCGTAATACCAAATTTGGTATATGTGACGATAGCGAATCGGCCGTGAGCGCTTCCTGAGCGTGGCATGTAGTCATGTTGTTACATGACACGCATGTCATGATTTTCTTGTTAGGGTCGGTCGCTTGTGTTCGGCATGCAATCATGTTATGCCATGCCAGTTTTTCAACATGCCATGTGAACGAAATAACCACGAAAGCTTCAGGACCATGAAATGTAAATAATGACATTCATGACATACGTGTCATGATCTTGATGTTATGACTACTTAAATATGTTCTTCATACAGTCATGTTTGCCATACCAAGTTTGGTATCAATACCATTATCAAAACGGCCAGGAGAGCTAAAAGTCGCATGCGGCTAGATAGATACACTCAAAGTCGCTGAAGTTCACTAAGAAATGCTTCGCATTTAAAAGTGCTCAACTCTCTTTGTAACTCAATAAATGTATCTTGCCCATCCGGCTCACTCGGGCTTATACTCGCTTAAATACTATACTGCTTCGGTGTCACCCACTCAGACTGACTGCCATCTAAGCCTAAGTGAGTCGATTCATGAGTGCGTTGGCGTATAAGTCAGGTTTTTTGACCAAAGTGGTGATACTTCTTAACTCCAATATCTCGAGTAATCTGTGCTCTACTTGCCACCACTTGATCTTGTACATCCAAATACCAGCTACACCAGTGCGTATTTCGAACTCAGCAAATACATTTTATCGATAGATATGACTCCCGCGAGATGTTTTTATGAAGAAATTCCCGTAAAATATTTTGCTTTGAAAGGCAAGGCACCTCCCCTCCCCCCTTTCTTTGGAGGTCGTGTCTCTGAACCATATCACGGTATCTTAACAAGCATGCACAATTCACAAAGAGTTAGGTTTGAACCATGAACAAATGCTGAGCTGGCGTATGCACGCTAGTACGTTCAAGTATCTGTAAGTAGACGTGAATATACGTAAGCCGATATAAGGCTGATAGTAATGCGGAAGTTGAGTAGACAGGAATCATGGCCAAAAAGGAATAATGAAAATAGTGACACAGCGGTGTATGTACGTATGTACGTATGCTTGATAAGGTGACACATGTCTGCTGACACTAACATGGGTGTGCCACAGCGGTGCGCTGCGCTGTTCGGCACCTGCAGCTGCCTGAAGGTCCATCTATATAATGCGTGGCACTGCACTCTACATGTGCCAAAAAAGCGTCAGGACGGGGAAAAGGGAAGCTTGCGAGGAAAAAACCCGTAAACAAGGGGGAGGGGGGGGGGTGCTGGAGCCGAAGTTTTGGCTGGAGCTGCTTCAGGACCAGCTCGCCCCTGACTTCTAGCCCCTTGAAGAAGTCAAGCCCACCGTACGAAGCGTGGGTGCACGTGTAAGAACACCAGATGGTCGAAATTTTTGGAGCCCTCCAGTAGGGCGCCTCTCATAACCATATGGTGGTTTTGGGACGTTAAAGCCCACATATCAACCGTTTGTAGCACCTGCTCAAGCCCCCATCCTTTGTTTAAGGGTTTTTCGCCGTGTGGCAGCCGCATGTGGGCCTCTCACAGCTTGGCGGCCGAAAAAATGCGGTAGGAATGCGTCCTATTCAAAAACCGCGGGGTCGCAGTGCTACTCGGGGCATTGCCCTCTTGTGAATTCCCTACGCTGGTAAAGATATTTATTCCTGGCTTTAAGTTATGAAGGAAGTGAGTTTTTTTCAAATCGCTGGTGCCCATTCTGCAGAGAAACATCCGATATTTTAAAGGAAAATGAAATCAAAGCGCCGAATTGTAAGTATATTTTGCAACATATTTGTCACGTGGTTTTGCGAATATATTGTAATATTACTTGACTTCAGTAGAACGCTCGAATTATGTATGATGACTTATTTCTACCATAAAGCAATAAGTCACTTTTGGTAGATTTGTTTCCTCTCGCTAGAGCTGCACAAAACAAAAGTGTCTAGTAATCTATTGTTGAAGAATTGGCCACGAGCATAGAACCTTCTAGTATTATAGTTCTTTTTGGATCGTGTGCGTGTGTGTGTTTGAAGAGATGTAGGTCCAAGAGCCTGTTAGTTGCCTTCATTAGAGTGAGGCAGCCACCTCCCGAAGCAATAGCGCACTGTTGTAGCTTTATGCAAGGGCGCTGTTCTTTCACTGTTCATTATGAGATGAATAAAGTTGCGAATCGAATTGGGCGCTCACCAGGACCAGGAGGGACTTGGCCTCTCGGCTCAGGAACCTCGGATAGTAGGCCTCCTCGTTGCAGACTGACCAGAACAGTTCGTCCTCGTCGGTGCCGTTGAAAGGTGACTGACCGATGAGCATCTCGTAGGTCAGGATGCCGAACGACCACCAGTCCACTGACTGGTTGTAGTGCTGTCCCTTGATGATCTGCAGCGCGCGCGTCAACATGGTTAGCAATCGATTTCGAGAACACGTTGACTCGAGGGCTGGTCACGTAACACTCGTTTGTATATATGGCATGGTTGAATAAGCATCGGCACATTCGCTTTCACAGTGGCCTCGTCGAACACTGGAAAACCTTCAACTTGTGCTTTCTTTATGTCTTTTTTACAGCTCACGTTTAGCCATCCCGAAAAGGCTAGCAAACCAGAAACTTGCCTGGGATTAACCTTTTTTTTGCACTCTCTCCATTCTATCTCGCATCAAATTTCTCACGCAAAGGTTGTGGAACTGAATCTCCATCGTGGCAGCCACATTTATATAGAGGCCCGTTTATATAGATTCAGATTCACGTTAAACAACCCCGCCCCGCCGTGGTGGTCTAGTGGCTAAGGTACTCGGCTGCTGACCCGCCGGCGCGGGTTCGAATCCCGGCTGCGGCGGCTGCATTTCTGATAGAGGCGGAAATGTTTTAGGCCCGTGTGCTCAGATTTGGGTGCACGTTAAAGAAGCCCAGGTGGTCTAAATTTCCGGAGCCCTCCACTACGGCGTCTCTCATAATCATATAGTGGTTTTGGGGCGTTAAACCCCACATATCAATCAATCAACGTTAAACAACCCCTGGCGGTCGAAATTTCTGAAGCCCTCCACTATGCGTCCCTCCCAATTATGTTGTGTTTTTGGAGACGAAAGACCCCGCTAAATCGTATTGTTTATTATCCCGTACAAAATACGCTAATTACTTCATCGTGAACCCAAGTGTTCTGGCAATTGATATGTGGGGTTTAACGTCCCAAAACCACCATATTGCCGCGCGCTTGATCTGCCAGCGCAAAAGAGGCAGACGAAGTGGCAGTTCCCCTCGTGCCATTGTTCTGTTTTTGGCTGTGCTGAGCCGACCGCTCTTCGGACTTTTGTGAGGACGCCTTAAAAACGTCTCCTGTCTCTTTAACGTGACATTTTAATGGTGGAGGTGCGGGGTAACCTCACCTATGCAACAGACTCCTTCTAGCAGCCGGAACGTGACCCAAAACCCAGAGCTTACGCCGGTACACCGTTTCAGTCGGAGGATTCGAGGACTGTCCCCCGAGTTTGTGCCTCACAGTACAAGTACGTCGACTGGTATGGAGAATACTGTTGCTGTCACCGCTTCCCCTACCGCTGGAGCCGCCGCTGCTCCAACCGCTGCACCCGCAGCTGCACCCACTCATTACACGCTACAAAAACCACGTGTTCCGAGTCCCTTTCGTGGTGGCCTCTATGAAGATGTGGAAGATTGGCTGGCTGAGTACGAGTACGTAGCGGATTTCAACGGGTGGGACGAAGTAGCGAAGCTCAAGAATGTGTACTTTAGTCTTCTGGATGGTGCTCGCACATGGTTCCAGAACCGCAAGGGCCTCCTAACGTCGTGGCATGAGTTCTGTCACAGGCTCCGCGAAACGTACTCGAGTCTCGATCGTCGAGAGCGCGCTGAAAGGGCCCTCCAGTCCCGCATGCAGATGCCTAATGAAGGTGTGGCTACATACGTGGAGGATATGGTTCATCTGTTCACTCGCGCCGATCCAACCATGCCGGAAGACAAGAAGCTGCGACACTTGATGCGAGGTGTGAAAGAGCAGCTCTTCGCTGGACTCATTCGTAGTCCGCCTAGAACGGTCGCGGAGTTCCTCACTGAAGCCGTCGCCATGGAAAAGGCGCTGCAGCAGCGGAACCAGTACGATCGGCAAGTGAATGCTACCTATACCACCGGGCTAGGCTCGTTCCCGACCGACGTGGGAGCGCTTCGCGAGCTGATACGTTCGGTTGTTCGCGACGAGCTACAACAGCTGCAACAGCTGAACCAGGCGCAGCAGCAGCCTTCCACGAATTGCATCGCCACCATCATACGTGACGAAGTTCAGCATGCGCTCGGCACACCTCGCCGCGAGACACCAACGCAGGTTGCTGCACCACTTCAGGCGTTCGCAACTTCAAGTGAACCTCTAGGGGTGACCTACGCAGACGTATTGAGACGCACCGTTCCGTCGTCCACGACACCATCCCCAGTGAGTGGTTTCCAGCGCACCACTTATACCGACACGTTCGAACACAACGCACCTGCACCAGTCCCACTACCAGCCGCAACCCCGTACGCCACACTGCAGTCCGCACAGGTGGTCCCTTATTTTGCAGACACTCGACCCGTCATGCGTAAATCCGACATATGGCGCATGCCCGACCGACGACCGCTTTGCTACCACTGCGGTGAAGCGGGTCACCTCTACCGAGACTGCCAGTACCGCCGACTTGGGCTGCAGGGTTTTCCTGCCAATTCACCCCGCCCCCGGTTTGGACAGAGACCACCAGAAATTGAAGATTTTATCGCTCGGCAGAACGTCCCACTCAGGCGTCAGTCGCGCTCACCGTCACCGCGGTCGTCATCTTACTCAGGCAACGGAAATCGAAGGCCGCAAGGACGGTCTCCGAGCCCTCGCCTGGAAAACTAACGCCAGCGACCTTTCGAGGCGAGGCCGCTGATTCTCGACGTGATGAAGACCTCGCCCTCCAATCGACGCGACATCGGACCAACGGAAATTCGACTACGCCGGCGCCTGTATCCCAGCTGAGCGACTTTTCAATGGACATACCTGTGCTGCTCGACGGTCGCAATTTAACTGCCTTAATAGACACTGGTGCTGACTACTCGATTATTAGCGGACAATTGGCACGTACCTTGAAGAAAGTGATAATGCCTTGGACAGGATCGCATGTACGTACAGCTGGCGGACATGTTGTAACGCCGGTTGGTTTGTGCACGTCCAGGCTACAAATACGAGGCTGCACGTTTTTGGTCAGCTCCATCGTGCTACGTGACTGCTCCCGCGAATTAATTCTCGGCCTCGATTTTCTTCGGGAATATGGCGCCGTAATCGACCTACGGCGACGCTGCATTTCCTTTTCGACAGTCAACGCTACGTCAAGGGACTCCAACCGCCGTACAACCGCCCTCCGTGTTTCCGACGACAGTGTCACAATACCACCTCGTGCAAGTATCCTAATTCAGGTGACTTCCGAAGGAACCAGTGACGGTGAAACAGTGGCAGAGTGCAACGTCTCCCTGCTGCTGGCGCTTGGAATTTCTGTGGCACGAGGCATCATTGACATTCGGAACGGTACAGCCGAGGTCATGATTACAAATTTCACCAATGAGCATCGTCACCTTTTCCGGGGCACTGCGGTCGCCTACGCTGAAGCCTTGGAGGACGTCATTGAGTGTTTTGCCTGTGAAGACAGTAGCCGCAATGGACAAACCGTAATAGATGTTGACATGAACAGTGCACTGCCAGAAGAGAACCAGAGGGCCTTGCGAGAGCTATTGTTTGAATTCAGGGCGTGCTTTGCTCAGTCGTCTAAAGTGAGTCAGACGCCAATTACACAGCACAGGATAATCACTTACGACGACGCAAGACCTATTCACCAACAGCCATACCGCGTCTCGCCGACAGAACGCGCAGCTATCAAGCAGCAAGTGAAAGAAATGATCGACGACGGCGTTATCCAGCCTTCGAACAGTCCCTGGTCCTCACCGGTCGTTCTGGTTAAGAAGAAGGACGGTACGCTTCGCTTCTGTGTAGATTACAGAAAGCTCAACAACGTCACAAAAAAAGATGTTTATCCGCTGCCGCGTATTGATGACTCGCTTGACCGACTACGACGAGCGAAGTATTTTTCTTCCCTGGATTTAAAGAGTGGCTACTGGCAAATTGAGGTTGATGAGCGCGACCGCGAAAAAACCGCCTTTGTCACGCCGGATGGCCTCTACGAATTTCGGGTGCTACCGTTCGGACTCTGCTCTGCGCCAGCTACCTTCCAACGCATGATGGACACTGTGTTGACTGACTTAAAATGGCAAAGCTGCCTTGTGTACTTGGATGATGTGGTCGTGTTTTCAACCAGCTTCTCCGAACATCTGAAGCGACTACGACAAGTACTTGAGGCGATTCGGACGGCTAACCTTACGTTAAAGCCGCAAAAATGCCATTTCGGTTACGAAGAACTAAAGTTCCTTGGACATGTCGTAAGCGCAGAAGGCGTCCGTCCTGACCCTGAGAAAACCGCCGCTGTCGCAGCCTTCCCGACTCCTGCCGATAAGAAAAGTGTGCGGCGGTTTCTTGGTCTATGCGCGTACTACCGGCGCTTTATAGGCAATTTTTCGAAAATTGCCGAACCATTAACTAGACTCACTAGAGACGATACGCCGTTCGTTTGGAGTGCTGAACAAGAATCAGCATTCACAGAGCTTCGGCTTCGCCTGGCATCACCACCTGTTCTTGGACATTTCGACGAGGAAGCCGAAACAGAAATTCATACCGACGCCAGTAACGTCGGTCTGGGCGCGGTACTCGTCCAACGGCAGGAGGGAATTGAAAAGGTTATCGCCTACGCAAGCCGAACCCTAACACGCCCGGAGTCAAACTACAGTACCACGGAGAAGGAGTGCCTTGCTGTCGTGTGGGCAATTGCTAAGTTTCGACCTTACCTTTACGGCCGTCCATTCAGAGTAGTGACGGATCATCACTCGCTGTGCTGGCTTGCGAACCTCAGAGACCCCTCCGGACGACTGGCAAGGTGGAGCCTACGTCTGCAGGAGTACGACGTCACTATCGTGTACAAGTCCGGTCGTGCACACGAAGATGCGGACACGTTGTCACGCGCGCCAGTTGAGCCTGCCGCTCAGAGCTTCGAAGAGGACTGCCCTTTCCTTGGCTCCGTAAGCGTAACAGACTTGGCTTTACGGCAGCGAGCAGATGCTCAATTGCGACCTATCATTGAACATCTAGAGGGCCGCAACGTATCACTGCCCCAGCATATAACTCGCGGATTGTCATCCTTCTGCTTACGACAGGGCGTGTTGTACAAGAAGAACGCAGCCGCCAGCAACAAAACTTACCTGTTGGTCGTCCCCGCAGAGCTGCGTGAGGAAATTCTATTTGCCTGCCACAACGAGC